TATATATATATATATATATATATATATATATATTACACACACACACAATAGTAATTAGCTATACTAATCATAATTTGGATATAATAAAAGTGGTTCTTGACCATAATAATAATAGTTGGTCATAAAGACAACAGTTTGTTTCTACAAAGGTGTAGTAAGTTATAAATACTGTAGTCGGTGGCTGCAATAGTAGCAGTTGGATATAGAGACTGTAGTTAAAAGTTGTAATTGCATTAGTTGGCTACATTAGTTGGAAAGTGTAAACTATTATAGTTGGTCACAAAGACAATAGTCAAAAGCTGCAAAAGCAACAGACAACCACTAAGATCATAGTTAGAAATTGTGATAGCAGTAGTTTAACACAAAGAACATAATCAGTGGTTACAATAGTGTTTGTTTGCCACAAAGGTCATAATTGAAACTTGAGACAGTAGTAATTATAATTAAAAATTGTAGTTTGTTACTACAAGAGCAATAGTCAGTCGCAAATGTTGTCGTTGGGAGTGATGACAGTAATAAATAGTCATAAAGGTCATAATTGGTGGTTACAAAAGCATCAGTCAGCAACATAGGTCGTAGTTGGCAACCTCAACAGTAGTAATTAGTCACATAAATTTTAGTTGGTAGATGCAAAAGCATAGTCAACCACAGCGGTCTTAATTGGGAACTTTGATGGTATTAATTAGGCACAAAGGCTGAAGTTGATGATAATAACGACAGTTAGTCGTAGAGGTAGTGGTTAGGAACTGCGACAATAGTAATTAGTCACAAAAGTTGTAGTTGGTGGAAGCAATAACAACAGTTGGCCACTGAGGTCATAGTTAAAAAATACAACAATAGTAATTAGACACAAAGATTGTAGTTGCTGGTTGCAAGAGCAACATTTGGCCATAACAACATTTAGCCACATATGTCGTAGTTGAAAACTATCATACTAATAGTTGGTCACACTGCTATAGCGGTGGCTGCAATAGCTGCAATTGGTCATAAAGATCATAGTTGGAAGATGTACCATTAGCATTTGGCAACATATTGTAGTTGGTTATTACAATGGTAGTAGTTGGCCATGAAAGCTGTAGTCGGTGGTTGTGATAGTAACAATCAGTCATAAGTCATAGTTGGAGGTTTTAATAGTAATAGTCGATTACAAAAGCCATAGTTGGGTGTTACACATGCAGTAATTAGCCATAAAGATCTTATATAGTTGGTGGTTACAATAAATATAGTTGACCATTATTTTGAAGCTGTAATGACAATAGTCAACTACAAAGGCCCTAGTTGGTTGCTGCACATGCAGTAATTTGCCACAAAGGTTATGGTTGGAAGCTACAATATTGTTAGCTGGTCACAAATGTTATATTTGGTGACTGCAATAGCTTTGATTAGCTGCATAGGACGTAGTTGGAAGCACTGATAATATCAGTTGGTCATAGAGGTTGTAGTTGGTATTTACAATATCATTAGTTGATCATAAAAATCATAGTTAAAAGTTGTGATAATTCTAATTGAACACATAGGCCACAGTTCATGACTGTAATATCGTTAGTTGGCCAAATAACAAAAGTTGGAAGTTGTGATAGCATTAGTTAGCCACAAAGATCAAAATTGGTGCTGCAATAGTGTCGGTTGGTCACAAAGATCGAACTTGAAAGCTGTAACAACAATAGTTGGTCACATAGTCATATTTAGGTGTATGAGCCCCTTTTCTTAGAGAAGAAAAGGCTTTTATTTTACATCGAACAATACACTTGTCTTTATATAACATAAAAAATACTGGCGTTAGGAACAACAGTCGTATTCTGACTATGACAATCATAAGTAGTAGTTATTGGTGGCTGGAGACAGGTGGTAACAATTGACAGTGGTCGGCAACTATAGAGGCTGAAAGTTATTGCCGAGATTTCAATATGGGCGTTGCATATTACAACTGTATTTGGGATAAGACATTTGAAAGTGCATATAGCCAACGATAGAAGGTAGATGGAGGCAAGCAATGATGGTCGCTGACGGTTAACAGTTTGACTTTAAACTGATTAAAATCGATGCCCTAAATACTGTTGAATCTGAATCTAAAACATTTATTTTTTAAATTTTACATTGATTTTCCTGTCCAATGACAAAAATATTGTGATGGGGGGTCCAGAATGACTTTATAATAGGGTGGGGGTGAACGGATTCCTTACTTTGTAACATAAGGATCTTGCAGAAATTTTCACAGCTTTCCAGGTGATAATGACTTCATTAGTAGAAAACATAATAGTTTTAGATTTATGTGCAAGAAGTCTTCTAATCGCGTCATGAGCTTCCCACTTGCGGGTAAGAAAATTGCTATTTACATCTTCGGTCAATAACTTCTATGGGGTTTTACTTTGGCCTCAAAGATTGAGTTAGAACAATTAAGCTCTATCTTATTAAAATATTACAACAAGATTTTGAGTTTAAGTTATTTGACTTTCATCTTAGGGAGATCCAATGGTCCGAAAAAAAAGAGTAAGATGAAGGAGAGTCCATCGATAGAGGATCACGAGGCCCACATGCTTGACTGAGGGAAGTTGTCCGAGCCAAATTCAGCAAGGTTAAAGCTCACCGAATTACGAGATTGACCAAAGACAATTGGAGGATACAAGAACAAGTCATTCAGATAGTAACAGGGCAAAAGAACATCCAAGCCAACTATCACAGGAGAGCTATGCCATGGAAGAGTTGGTTCCCTAACATTTACAAACATCTCAAGAACGTTGAGAAACTCTTACTTAGCGGTCAAGGATCAACAACCAGGTCACATCAAACCGATCGACCCGGATCAACCAAAGATCAGTTGATCGAGCTAATATCGGTCGACCGAGTTGAGTCTTACCAAATCGAAACCAATTAAACTTAGTCAGTCGACCCATAGAGCAACCAAACAATCAACTCATACATGCAAAATACCAATAATATCTTGCACAACCACATTTAAAAAAGGGACAAAAAATGTAACATAATGATATTACATCACCTTCCCTACAAATATGGAGATTCTTTTCTGAATAAGACACGATTGAAACAACATTTTACTACAAATAAAAAGATCATTTTATGAATATAACACGTAACATTGTATCGCTCGTTTATTTTTTGCGCCCGAATATAAATTTATTTGAGCTTGATTATTTAAAATTTTTTTTAATCCTGGCTAAATCGACTCAAAAAGAATAATTGACATAGCTAATTTGAAAAAAAAGAATAAAATGTTGTTGGTTCCAAATATATTTGTTAATTGTTAATTGCACCTTACTAACAACCATAGATTCATGAAAAAAAAAAAATAGAAGAAAAAAAAAGCAAGAACTTGCTAGATTTTTATTTAAAATATTAATACTCTAAAATGAACCAATCATAACGTTTCTAGACTCAGCTTTTAGCCCCTTGTTTAATAGACATATGTCATGACACAACACTACTCAATATCTACAGTTGAATGATACAAATAAGTTGCGTAGCCATGCTTAAATAACACTGACCATTAAAGTATTTAAGCCACAAGACGACCCTAAATAAGTTCATGGCTGAGCATGAGATATCAGAGAAAGAATATCCCTAGCACTGAATATTCCCAAGTTCTATTTGCCCGGCAGCATTCGGTGGGTACTACGAAGGAAATTTTGTTTTATTTGAAATTTATTTAATTTGGGTGAAATTTAAATACACGACTTGTACAACATGTTGGCTGCGATCACTTGATGTGAGTAAGACCCTCAATAAATGCATCGTCGGTTGCCTGCTACGAGCTACTCATCGTCGACCGGCACCGCCGCCACCCTCTGCTGCTTGCCTTCGTGAATCATTAAGTTGACTTTAGCTACAGGTAGGGTTGTCTAAACGGCTCGTTGTTCGCTAACAGCTCGTGTTCGGCTCGTTCGCTATGTTACCGAGCCGAACACAGACCAATATTCGTTCGTTCGAGTTCGGCTCGTTTTGGTTCAAAATACTACTAATTATATATATAGTATTTTTTAAAAATTTAATTGACTACAAGGCTACAAAGATTTATAATCAACTAAAATTATTAATGAAGAAAGTTGAATAAAAATTATTAAATT